TAGTCACTCTTCTCAATCCCTGGAAATACTCGTTTACAAGGTTAGAATAAAACAGAGAAAAATACTACAACAAGTTAATGAGGAAGCAGTGCTCATCTAATGCTACTTGCTGCAGTACTTGAGCAGACAAATCTCCAGCTAAAACATTTTATTTATGCATTTTAATATTTAATATCTAGTTATGTGATTAATATACTTGTTTTTTTCATATTTGTATTAGTTATAGGTTAGACTGAGTATTTTTTTTTCATAATACATTATAGCACTAATTGAACTGAGTGAAACAGTACAATGCAGCAGTCTGGTTTTCTATTTCACATCTTTTTGAAAACTAGATTAGGTATCTCTTAAAAGCAATGCATTTTACTGGTTACACAATGCAAAAGAGCTGTTTCTTCTCCAATGAAAACAGCACAAAGGTTTCAAATAGGTAAACAGTTTACCAAGGGGCTTATAAGGTTAAAGCGATTTGAACTAATTTCTCAATAGAAAAAGAAATGCTTTGCAAAACAAACAAATAAATAACGAAATAAATAAAAGCAAAAATCAGGCACCATTTAGTAGTTCCAGGAGTTATTATTATGCTCCTAACGCTTGCTTTCAATACCTAACACACATAAAGATTTGCACAAAAAGATTTCTGGAAACATGCACTTCTTTTGAATGTCAGAGAGGTTTACAGTGTTTTTATATTGATTCTCTTCAGCAGTGTTCCAGGAACTCTAAAGATGCACGACCCTTATTTTTTATTGCTTAGAGGTTTTTAGCCCTTTTGCCCTAGAATATTAACATTAATTCTAATTGATTATTTCAAACAATATTCTTGGTCCTTGAACTTCTCTTTCTTCTGTTAATACTGACTGGCATAAGGAAGAAGCTTGAATGCTCTAAAAATTGTGACTGGTCTCTGAAGACAGCCAAACTAACATCTGCTTAGAGTAAGAGAACAACTCTTTTAGCATCAGAAAGTCCAGAAGAAAAAACAGTGGAAAAAATCAGGAAAGGAGATGACATTACAGGTTGAGTTGAAACAGGAAGGGATGCAGAAATCCTTCTGTCTGTCAAGGTTAAAGGTTGAATTATATCTGTACAATAGTCTCTGAAAATAAGAGCTTTAAGGGATTTTCAGCATTTTGGAATTACTGGATTCTCTCTGGCATAACAGCCTGTGTCTTGGTCTAGGTCCCCCCAACAGTCCTTATGTATTATCCGACTGTCCATTGAAGTCAATGGAAAGATTCCATTTTGCTCTGATGAAACCTTTAAAAAAGCCATTCCTGTGCTCACTTATATTTTTTTTTCCTCTGTTCCTGTTCCTCTGTCTGCTTTGGTTTACATTTATTTTTTCTTCTATCTCCCTTCAGTTATTTGGTTCTGATGGTGGCACTTCCTTTAAGGGCCTAGTCATTAGTATCCTCAATTACTTTTTTTATTTTTAGAGTGATTACCCTAAGAAAATTTAGGAGCTGCTGTAAAAAAAACCCAACAAACCAAAACAAAACAAAAACCAACCTTGTATTTCATTCTAGATACCATTATCATAAGACATAGAGTAAAATTCCAGTCCAAACTATGATTTTTTTAATAATCTGGCACTATTTTGTTATACCAAAATCTTAAATCTCTTTTTAAAGGATTAAGAAAAAAAAACATTAATACTGTAGCTTTATGAATTTTTATAAATCATCTGAGCTGTGGACATTGACCATAGACACACTTTTAGCCTTTTGCAAATGCTAGGAAAGCATGTTAGTTTAATTGAATTTTCAGCTAGCACATTTTTCTTTACATTTCTGGCAGGCTAAGAGGTAGCACATGGTCAATTACACTGGTCTGGTACCATACAGTAATTCATTCAGCCACAGCTCAACTGTTTCTTCGAGCCCTGAAACAGGCCTCCTGAATGGTTGACTGAATAGTACAAAGCACAGATTACTTGAAAAATTTATATGTTACAATACACAATTTTGAAGATTTTCAGAGGGTTTCTAAGAAGAAGTAATGGTGCTTAGGACATAGAACAGGCTTGATGTTCCAAGCAGAGTCCAAACTTAACTGGAGTGATAAATTTAGATGATGCACGTGTAAGTCATCTGGGACTTTATCTAGTATCAGTTACTCTCTATGGCAGATTTAAGAGAGTAAAATCACTTTTGGAAAATGTCCCTTTATTAATTCAGTTTTTAATTGTTTTGATTATGCTTATTAAATGCCTGTAGCAGTTTCTAACTACTGTGTTTCAAACAAAAAAAAAAAAAAATCAGAAATTCCATGAGGTGCATAAAATGCTGCTGTGAAAGCAATGCACAGAAAATTGTATTTTTCTATAGTTGCACCAAACTAGAATCATAGGGACTCATGAGGGATGGAAACGCTGTTGTTACATTATCCATTGCAGTGCAATCAAATCATGCTTTCTCATATTCCGAGGGATGTAACAGGATGGAAACGTTTGAAGCCTTCTGGGGTATGTTTGATGCTGCGTTAGGCCTAAGGAAATCACCAGGGACTAGGGACTAGCTGCTCTGTGCTAGGGAACTCATTTAAGTGAGTTTCTTATTCTTGCCTAACTCTTTGGTTCTGAATCTCTGCCATGCCCTTCCTTTTTTTTAAAAAAAACCAACTATGCACTGGCGATTCAGAGACGTAGTGCAAGTTACCTTCATTCATAGGTGTGCAAGATGGCAACAAAAAGGCTCAGGATTGACTCTCATCGTGCAGTCAGTTTGACGGAAGAGCCTCCTTCCACCGCGCTCTGGCTCGTACTACTGTGAGAACGAAAATCAGCAAATCCACGAGCACTTTGGAAAATGGTGGCCATCTTCCAGTTTCCTTTCCCGTAAAAGGAAAACCATGCCTTCCACATTTCATGGGACTGTAAGAACTGAGGCAGTAACTCTGTCGGGTGCTTTGGGAACCCTTGATGGGAAGCACAGACCAAGTTCAACACGTGCACCATTATTATTCCCCTGATAAAGTTTGGTAATATACTTGGTTAAGTACCCTTAATTACAGTGTTACTTATGTAGCTGAATCCCAATACACTATTATAATTTACTACCCTGTTTATGTTTAGCTGTACTTTTAATTGGATAATCAAAATTATGTTATTTCAGATAAACAGTTATATTTCCTTTTTGTAACTACATTTATGCAGGATATTATAACCTAAATAGTACAATAGACTTAGTGATGAACTGTAATAAGTTTTTATTTTAATGTGAAAATAGCCAAGAATTCAGTAAAAGGAACTGGTATAAGAACTAAATAGAAGCAGAAAAGAATATATGTACACACACATCCGTTTCACACCATGATAAAGTCTGGAGGTGCCATTTGGACCCTTAAATCCATCTTTGACTTTAGTGTGGCAGGATTGTGCCTAGGATGAAGAATACTTTATTGTTCATTAGGTTAATGCTACATTCATTTTAAAACATCAGCAGAGCTCTGTTGAAATTAGGATGTAATAAAATTATCTAAGCATCTTCCACTATAGGAAATTTAGAGCATTTAGGTTATGAGATTGCTGATGCTGAAGACTTGCAACAAATTGCATTCTGTACTGAAAGTATCATGACATAACAGTTATTAGTTGAATAAAATTAAAGAGATATGGGTATTGATCTGTTTCATTACCATATCCAGGCACTGAGTTTTCACCAGCAGTGGGAATATGATTTAGGAGAGTTTTGTCATATGCTTAGAAAACCCTCAGAATGCTGTTGGCTACTGTGTTCTCTCTACAGGCTGGTTATGTTACATACAGTGTCCAGTTATGTTCTTATGTATAATGAGTACATATTCTCTGGCTTCCATTCTGCTTGAGGCTTTCAACTTCCTTGTATCGGGCACCTGTGCAAGATTATTTAGATTCTTCAGAGCAAATTTGCAGAAAGGCTGTGCTAAGTGGGTTGTGTAAACACTTGTGCATCTGTCTGATTCTCTAAACGATTCTCTTGCATCCTATATCTTTGTCTGCTTTTGAAATGTTGCTTAAATAAGCTGAAATTGAAGAGGGAAAGTGAATGCAAAAATCAAATTGAAGCATTTCTGGGTTTTTTAATTTTCTGTTTGTAGCATTTGACAGCTGCAAGAAATTGCATGAGAGAAAAAAAAATCAAAGGCTTGAGTATCAAAATCTTTGCTTACAAGCTACTCTTATTTAGTAATCATGCTTGTTTAATAACCATAACTTGGAGCACATGATCCATAGGAACAAATAATCGAGTATATAAAAACACATAGCTTGTTTTTAAAGATATTTGTTTAATCAGGAATAACAAAGAGTCTTTAAACAAATATTTTGTAATTTAGACATAAAAAGGGAAAAACTGCCTAATAGAGAAGACTATAAATGTATAGGAATAGCAGTACTTCTGGTCTAAGGATAACAGATATTCAAACAGTATGAAATGCTTATTCATAAACTGTTTAGTGATATAAAAATTAAGCTTCATTTCAGCATGTTCATATTCTCTTTGCTGTTTATTATTTATGTTTATGAACAGTGAACGTGGGATCCTGAAGCTGAGATTCATTTAAGAAAATGAAGTTCAGTTTGTGATACCAAAACGAAGTAAGGATACATTTAGGTGAAGATACCCAACTGAGAAACCACAGAAATAGAAACTAGACCCATGTAACTTAAATGACCAGCCACAAAGCTTGAGATATGAATTCCAAATATCAAATAATAAACTGAATACTTGAATGTAGCCATTAAATCTATTTGAGTAAATTTGCATAATGAATAGTTTCATAAAATTCAGAACTAGCTAGCAGATGATTTTGCAAACAGGAAGGAGGCTACAGTCACCCCATAATTTGCTCATAGCAATTTTAACCAGTTTTAAAATGGTGAATGAAATTCCACAAATAGTGAGACTTTCCATCAAGCTCGGAGAGAAAAAAAAGTTTCATTTTGCAATATATGTGGATTTTGCAAGTTAATCTTTTAATCAGACTTGTAATATAGGCTTTATGTGTTTTCCTGACAGACCAGCAGTACTCATGGTCGCCTTCTCAGCACTTCAATGAAGAAAGATATTCTCCTGCTCCGAGGAATATGAAAGGATTATCTGGCAGTCGCAACCAACCACAGTTATGTTCAGCTCATACTTGTGGCTTAGCATCCCCTGAAGATTGTGAACACACCCACGACCATATCCACCATGGGCAGGAGCCAAGGCAATCGTATCTTCTCAGCCCCACGGAGAGTTGCCCCATGGACCACCATCGTTGCTCACCACGCAGCTCCATTCATTCTGAATGCATGATGATGCCCATGGTAATGGGCGATCACATGTCAAGTAGCACTTTCCCCAGAATGCACTACAGCTCACATTACGACTCAAGAGACGACTGCGCCATGTCTCACGGTAACCCTAAGATTAACCGTATTCCTGCAAATCTTTTGGACCAATTTGAGAAACAACTTCCTCTTCACCGGGATGGGTTTCACACTTTACAATACCAGAGGACCTCGACAGCTGCGGAACAACGCAGTGAGAGCCCAGGTAGAATACGCCATCTCGTTCATTCAGTCCAGAAACTTTTTACTAAATCTCATTCTCTGGAAGGATCATCCAAGGGCAATGTTAATGGAACAAAGGGAGACAGTCGAGGGGATGACCATCATCATGGACACCATTCCAAGCATAGCAAAAGGAGTAAAAGTAAGGAGCGAAAACCAGAAAGCAAGCATAAATCTGGAATGAGCAGCTGGTGGAGCTCTGATGATAATTTGGACAGCGATAGCACTTACCGAACCCCTAGTGTGGTAAATAGGCACCATGCAGATCATATATCCCATTGCTACCCTGAGGCGCTCCAGGGACATTTTGGGGATCTCTCATTGAAGACTTCCAAAAGTAACAATGACGTGAAATGTTCGGCTTGTGAAGGGCTAGCAATGACCCCTGATGGTAAATATATGAAAAGGAGTTCTTGGTCCACGCTTACAGTAAGTCAGGCCAAAGAAGCTTACCGCAAATCATCACTGAACTTAGATAAGCCTCTGGTTCATCAGGAAATCAAACCTTCCTTGAGGCCATGCCATTACCTTCAGGTAAGAGGAAGACTTTCTTAATATTTGTAATAGAAAAAACATCACAGTTTTTGCCATTAAATCATCGTAAAGGCTCATCTAAGGCAGATATTCCATGAAAGTGAGAAAACTCCAGCTTTTGTCTTGGTTTACAGGACACAGATTCAAAACTAAGTAAAACTGGCATGATATAAATTACTTTAAGGTCAGTGGTTGTGTTTTCATCTTTGGAGTTCACACTGAACATCTCGATAAAATCATTTTAGTACATTTAGTACATCATACTAAAAAAGGGGCAGTTCTGCCAGCAGTCTAGGGGTTAGAAAAAGTGTGTCAAAGACATCTGTAAATGAGTAGTTTTAGAAACAGGCTGTGTAAATTTCTATTTTTATGTTATTTTATTCCCCTTCTCCAAGCTGTTCTGAGTAACAGGAGAATAGATTTACTGGTGTACTCAGTTGCTTTGGCGTGATGATGATTACTCACTAACTTCCTTTTTGTGACTGAGTCACCCAAAATCATAATGAATTGAACCTCTCAAGACCATAGCATAAGGTATCCTTGTTAAAAGTTATATGGGTACCTCAGGGAGAGAAATATTTCAGGCTCGGTACTCAGACTGTGGTGCTGTTCTGCATACTTGTTTTCTTCAGCAGCAACCAAGAAACTTCCACTTTCTCCCACATTTAAACTTTAATACCTGCTGCTTGCTGCCATTTGCCACCCCACAGTCATGCTAGTGTAGCCATTTACGATGCTGCATGATTATCTGGATTCTAAAGTGATATGGGTTTAAAAATTAGCTTACAAATTTTTTTATTTTTTTTTTACATTTAAGTCATTTACATGGTCTAGGTCCAGCACAGTCCCATGACAAGTGTCATTAGCACATCAGGGCATACAGAGAACTGCAGTTGGAGTAGAGCAGAAGGAAGGGAGTAGCTGGGAGAATAACTTCTTCAGCTAGCTTTGCCACTGGAAAAAATGTAGTATACAAATATCCCCTTAAGGTATTTCTACCAAGGACAGCCTGCAACACCCACATTGTTCTGCATGCCTTCTCTTTTATTGCTTTTTAAGGAACTTTTTCTCCAGAACTTAACTGATTCTCACAGTAACTTGGGCAAATCTCCACTCCAGATACATGTATTTAGAGATTTTCAGTTCCTGTGGACTCTGCAGAAGCCAACAAATACAGACTAGCAACTGCTGCACTTCTGTGCAGAGCTCTCTCCCCTCTGAGCAACAGGGGACCAATAGTAATGAGTCACACTTGAAGAGCCAGATTTTTTCAAATGCGTATGCAGACATCCAGGATCAATCGTCCCTACTGAAACAGGGAAAGTTCCTCATTGCAAAGAAAGGAAAATAAAGAAATTGCAACTCTCATAGCATTACCATGCAAATTGATTCCAATTTAGACTGACAGCTGTGATGTTTTATCATATCCAAGTACAATTCTCATGTATGCAAAACAGCCTGCACTTTCATGGAAGTTTTTAATCTAACTCAATGAGCCAGAACTGGAAGCTCATCCTGTGCAGAGACTTCCACTTGTGTCTGTGTTCCAAAGCCACGTGTACAGCTCCGACACTACAGAGAAGCTTAGGTATGGCTGGTTTTTCTTACTGTGACATACTTGTATTTCTACACAAAGAACTCCGGTTCCTCTACATCTCTGCTGGGTTCTGTGCTTTCCTTCTCATCATGTGCCATTGTTTCTTCTTCCCCCCTCTTTACATCTCACTTTTCTTTGCAGAAGCCACCAGTTTTTACTTTTCATGGGCCTTCTCCTTACTCCAAATTAGCATCCTCAAGTGAATGTGGAACACAGTTCACAAACTAACCTGGTTATCGCTAAGCTTTAGATCAAGCCCAGTGACAAGCCTTCGGAAAGCACATTTTTTGCAGAGTTATTGTTTTATATTTTTTGTGAATTTGGGATGACTACAGAAAGGAACTTTCATTCTGTAATTAGGAAGATTCATCCACTAGTAGGTTCATTCATCTTAAAATCTGGGATATGTGAATTTAAATTTTTGCTGCACCAGAGACTTTCTCTGTGATCTTTGGTTTTAAGCCCCTTAGAAATGGGATAGAAGCTATTGCCTATTCACAGAGATCCTATAATGGAAATTTATTAAGACCTGAGTGTTCAGTTACTACAATAAAGAATCTATAGTTGTGTACCAGGAATTCTACAACAGGAATATTGTCATTACAAAATATTAAAATAAAATATATATTCTCTAGAATCTGAATATGCCATTCAGAGCATAGATCTCTTTCAGGTTGAGTGGCTGGCTTATTCACTAGCCCAAGGTCAGCAAACAAATTGAAGGGACCCCATTCTGTCAATGTCATAACTAAATGCTTAGTTTTGAAACTTCTGCTTTGAGGGATGCTGTGCTGTCACACTGTAATCATTAAGACCAGAGATATAAATCCCATTATTAGCTCTGCCATGAACTTTTTCTCTGACCCAGGAAATGTAATTTGTTAATCACTGCACACTTCAATTACTCTGTGTGCAAAACTGAGAAAGGATATTTAACTTTTCTTATGGTAGTGTAAAAAGCATCACTAAATAATGATTGGATAAAAATAATCATTGGGTTCAGAAACTGAGAAAGGTAGAGGAACATGTCAGGATCCCTAGCCAGGAAAGTTTACTTAACTCTATCCTTGCAAAACCAGGACACTGCCTTACTCCAGAATATCTGGAAATGAGAATTCAGTGGATTATGAAGCTGATTATGCAGCAGCAGATTTCCCTGAGGTGCACTAGTGTTACAACACATGATATTGAAAGACATTTCTCCTGAGTGGTCAGCTATATATTTTCAAATTCTCTTTAAAGTAAAACTGTGAAATTATAGTCCTTTAATGATCTTATACATGAATACATTAACATACCCCATAATAATAAAAAAATAGTTTTCTATGTTTATGTATTAATATTATAAATTTATAATACATATATGCCTTTTATTCTGCTACCTAGTTATATAAGGATTTACTGTACCCAACTCACTTTTCTGTCTACTGGTCTCCTTCTTGTTATTTTTTCTTTCAACACCTGTATAAAATATTGCTACTTCTGTTTTCCACTGGAGAGTTTTGGTATACAGAGTCCCAAACTGGAAGACCATGGCAGTGTCTTGGGCCTGTGCTTGAGACCATGTTTTCTGTATGTTTCTGGGCTTCCATTTTGTCTTCCACAGTAATTACTGAGCTGCTTTTTCCTTAAAACTGAAACTCTGAAGAGTGAACAAAGGAAATTTATTTCTCAGAAGTGAGCTTCTCCCAGATTCACAGATGCCTGAAAACAGGGAAAGGAAAAAAGAGGTTTTGAAGGCATCTGCACATGATATGTTTAAGTCATGTCCTAGGGTTGAAAGCAGGTGTTTCTTTAACCTGGTAAATCTCCAAGCTTAGCCTCTGGCTGCTCTCTTAGGGTTTCACATTCCCTGCTCCTCCATAGACAGTCCTTGCAACTGGGGATCTCCTCGTATGGGGCGTGTGCTGTGTTAAGTTGGAGGTGATTCAGTCAACATGCCTTGTTCCAGTATGGGTGGTCATCTAGTCCTGAAGTGCACAGTTTCAGAGAACTAAATTAGTACAAATAAAGCTGTATAAAAGAGTGATTATTTTTCTCATCTAAAGCTCGGATTGGATTTACATCACTCCTGCTACAGTGGAGGTGGTGGGAACACACAGAGAGAAGGGAGAGGGGAAGAGTGGGAAGCCCCTTTGGGCTCCAGCTCATTGTTAAATCAGCTGAGCTGTAACGTGAACCAGACAGTCAGCCAGCACCACAGACAAGAGAGCAGTCGTTTGTACCTGTACACTGATAGCATTTATCAGATTCTTGTGAATGATTAGCAACAGTTTTTATGCATGTTCCTTTAATTTGTGTTTTGAATGCAGACAAATTGATCTACAAATGCATTTCTGGGCACAAAACACTTCTGTCATCTCGCACTGCAGGCAGAATAGCCCAAGTAGATCACACATGCAGCAAAGTGCACTTTTGTATAGGTTTAGCCATAGCGGCTGCTCTCCATGTCATTTTAATTTCAATATCAAATATGCTAAGAAAAAGATGAATGAGTTGTGAGATCTCGTCTGTCTTCATCAGCTGTTTTGGCTAATTAGGTTCAACACATATACAGTGCAATGACTTTGATTAATTTTGCTCTGATATGAGTACTAGTGAGGAGCAAAGATTTTCAACAGAAAAAATGGATATGAACAAGATAACTGTGCTAAAATGCTGAATACAAAGTGTTGCTTACAGCTTCCAGGACTGAAATACCTGTGAATGCTAGTTAAAGAAAAGTAATTCCTACAACAGAGACAAAAGACAGGTGAGAGCATAGCACTCACCATCACTGAAGTTCTGGAGCACAGTGCTACATGTCACTGATTAATATTCCTCCCTCAGCCATTCAACAGCCTGCAAAGCAGCAAGCAATCAAGGTAAACATGCCACAAGGTACAGTGAATGAGTCAGCACTAGAAGAGAAAATAGCATGTTGTTCTAAAAATGGCTTCAGCCCACTCCTGTCTTGCTAGTGCTTTTAAGTACTAGCGTCATCGGTTACAGCACTGGCATTGCTAAGCATGTGGGTAATAATGTCAGTTGTGTTCTCTCTGGAATGAAAGAAAAGCACAAGAGTTGGTCTCTTACAAAATAAAAATAAAAAAGCAGCAGTTTCAACAAGCCTCTTTGCTGGTTTAAGTTGTGCCAGAGGTTTGAGGACAAGCTAATGGATAAATAGGCACTAAGCCCTCAGTTACGTTTTTCCAGGAACTCTTCTGGAGCCAGGGCAGATCCCCACAAACGAGAGTGTTGCCCTCAAGAGCCATGCTACTGCTTTGCACTGTCCCTCTGGTTTGCAAGGATGGATGGATTTGCACTCAGTGCACATTTCTCAACCCTTCATCTTTGTGAAACTGATTGTATCTTTTTGCTTGACATAACCCATATATGAACTACAGAAACTGCATCCAATACT